GGGGGGGGGGGGTACCTGCTTTGTGAGAAAAAGAAGTTAATGCTGGCCAAGCCCTGCCGAGGCCTCCGCCCTCCCGAGGCCTCCGTCCTCCCTCTTCTGCAAAAAAAAGAAACGCACAAACAACAAAAAGACTGTCCTCCCCAAACACGTCTGAGCTACAGCAAGAAGAGTTACTAAGTGAACTGTCCGCGCCGGTGGCTAGTATTTCAATGATGAGAATCTTTTTCAATTTATAGTTAATGACAAATCGTAGCCCTTTGGGTGGAGACCAAGTGGAAGCGGTGAGGCTACAGCTGGCCAATGGGTGGATGTTTCCAGACCACGACTGCTCCTCCCGTTAGCCTTTCGGGAGTATGTGACCTTATGCTTAACAGCCCGAGACAGCCCATTGCCTGGGGGAGATACTATTGTTATGAAAGCAGGGGAAGGAGTCTGGCTCAGGTACTGCAGCGAAGACTTTCAGACTCAAAACAGGAGGTAAAACCAAATTTAAGCCTTGTCAGCCAGTACATCGCCTTGGGAGAGGACTTCATAAATTCCTTTAGCCCCTTCTATTTAACACATCGGGACTAAGGGGAGCCCCATCCCCGAGGGCAGAGGTACCACTGTCCCTCACACCAGGCTTAGTTCTGGGCGGGGTCAGGATGAAGGTATATGTGACTACAGGGAAATAAACAAGCACCACTCCCTGAGCAATTCATGTTTTATGGGCCAGTGAGAGCCCTGTCTGTGTTCCAGGCTCTCCATTCTGGACCCTAGAACCCCCAAGGTGGTAGGAGATGTCTTATTGTTTGATGGGAACACTGGTGGCCCAAGGACTTGGCCTCGCCTCTAGTTTGGAACTCTGGGAAGAAGCAGCTGGAAGGATGCCCTTGTATAAACAGGGGGCAGTGCTTTGTGGCTGGGCAGAAAAGGAGGGTGGGAGTGTGACTCTCCAGATCTGGATCTGCTGTGTGTGACATGCGTGGAGCCTAGAAGTGTTCACTTGCCCCAGAGCTGGCCGGTAGGCCCCTGAGACTCCCCCATGATGAGGAGTGATGTGGCCCCACAGTGGAGACCACATGGTGAGCTGTCTGGCCAAGCTGAATGGAGGATGGGCTGAGAGATGGTGAGCCTGGGAACACCACGAGGCTCCAAGCATGCCCAGACAGTGGCCAGCTGTGGATTTTACCAGCCACACACCTTAGCTGTAAATGCCAGCAGAAAGTGGCAGCCCCATGACAGGAGACAACTGTGATGGGACTCAATGACTCAGCGCAGCCCACGCAGGTTCCTAATCCAAAAACACACAAACCTGCCTCTCCCTGTTACCTGGCTGTCACCTCAGGGAGAAAAGCAGGAGGAAGGGGTGACCATCTGCAAGATCAAACATTTTCATCCCAAAGAGACTGAGCATTTCCCACAGGAACTGTTAAAATATTGCATCAGGCTGAGTTTACCAGAAAAAGGTATATAAAGGTCTCTTTTCCCTTGCTAATTAGCCGGATGAAGCTTTTGTGGAAGATGAGCTCAGGTACAGATAAAACGAAGCAGCAGCTCCGTATTTTTTCGTACACCTGAGAGGAGCGAGAAAATGTGTGACTATGACCATCAGTCCTCAGTAAGAACGGTTTTAAAAAAGAATGGAAGGTTGGCTAATGGAGTCTTTGGTGGTATTTATTTCACCACCTGGAAACAGAGCGAATTAAAATTTGCATCAGATGTATAAATCAGCTCTTAGTTATACACTATGGTTTGCTAATTTAGGTGTATTCCAGTTTTGGTGCTCCTTATTTGATATCAACTCAGAAAAACATTTAAGTTCCTCTCTTAATTTCGGCTTGTCATTGATGCGCCCAGTTGAGTCCTTTCTGACAAATAAAAGATGATGTATACCCCTTTCATTGTTCCATACATTGCAGCTCTAGAAGGGTTTTATTAGAATAGGAGCCTGTTGCTATAAAGAAACAGCCTACAAGTCATTACTAACAGGATACCCTGAGTCTCTCGTGACCTGTTCTCTAAACTCAGTCCTATCATTTACCTTGAGTGTGCTTGTTAAGTTCTCAGACTCAGTTTTCTAATCTGTAAAATGGGGATGAAATACCAAAATAAAAATACTCACAATGATGGTGTCTAATAGTTACTAAGTGCTTGCCCTACACCCATAGGTAGGTGCAATGTTCTGTCCCTACGTTAAAAAGAAATTATTTAACTTGTTCTTTTAGACCTAGGTCTTAATGTAAGAGAGCCATGCATGGATCTAGCCCCACAAACACACAGGTGCAAACAGAGTGAATGTGCCCAGCTGGCTGGAGCCAATGAGTGTATAAATCAGTCTATCATGTCAATCGAGTTTACTTCAATTCTCTGTCCTTTACAGTGAAAACCGTTTTCTCACATACAATGCCCTGGCCGGCCCAGGCTGGGAAGGATGTTTCCTTTACTGTCTCCTCTGTGGTCCCTGTGCCGTGGCCCTCATCTCACTGTGCCTTAATTCCTGGGCTGGGCGTTGGCCTCCACAGTGAGACCACAGGGCACACTGGATCTTTTCCGTATGCCAGGCACACTCCAGATTCTCCACAAATATTTGTGAAAGAAATGCGTGGATAAGTGAATGAATGCATGAGTAAGTGACTTTGTTCCTAATAGTTTTTAGAATAGTGCAAAGTGCTGCTCTCACAGCCCAAGTAAATGAAGCCAGCTGGGGACTTGCTGTACTGCTGGCCGTGGGCAGAGGGAGGCTGGCTCTGCGCTCCCCTCTGACTCCGGGCAGGAAGGGCAGCCGCTCTGAGATTTGCAGTGTGCTCTGCTCGAGTGTCTTTCTGGGCAAAATGTCTTTAACAAGGACCCCAAACTCCTCACCATACTTACCCTCCTTGAGCATTTTCTCTCTTAATTTCTGCTCCAGTCTGCTTTGCTGATCTTCTAATTCTAGTTCCTGGGCCCTAGGGATGAGAAAGCATTTAAACCATGTAAGTACTAGAGATTTGTGTAGACACATTGACAAATACACCCACTGACAGTAACTACTGCATTCTTTTTTCCTTATTAAAACTGGAATATCTCTAAACTGAAAGTTTAGCTGCTGCTGGGGTCGTTGAAGGTGCCGAGAAGGAGTGCTGAGATATGCTGGGCTCAAGAGATGAGGGGAGCAGCTGACGGTTGGCCCGCGACCTCAGTAGGCTCTAGAAAGCCATTCAGGCCACCTTTTACTGAAGGATCATGAAGAAATACTAGAATAGTCCAGGGGGAAGCAATGACAATCTGAAACTCTTCTCTCTTTTGGGGGCAGCATGACTTCCAACCATTTGGAAATGGTTATCACCTCTAACCATTCCCAAATCTCTCATTGTGGTGGACAAGAAAATGAGAAAGCAGACACAGGAACAAGACATTCTGTACAGGTGGAGGCGATAATCGGACAACTATCTGGTTGTAGGAACTAGGGAAAGAAGACAGTGGGCCCTCGCTGGGTAGCTCAGTTGGTTAGAGTGTTGCCTTGATATGCCAAGGTTGTGGGTTCGATTCCCAGTCAGGGCACATACAAGAATCAACCAATTAATGCATGAATAAGTAGAATAACAAATTGGTGTTTCTCTCTCTCTCTCTCTCAAGTATATATTTATATATTTATGAGTCTGTGGTGCTTTGTAGTAGTCAAGCAAGATTGCTGGGGACTCAGTGTTTCCACTGATAAGAAGAGCAAAAGTTAAGAAATGAAGTTATTCCTTGGTGAAGGTCAGTTTGGAACTTGACCTTTCAATCCCTGGAGATATCCCATGTATATCACAGAGTGTGTGTAAGCTCCCCACATGCTAGGCCACGCGGTAATGTGGAGCTTCTCTGAATCTTGGTTATTGACACTGAACTTCTCTTGGTCAAAGTGGTAGCCAATGGAGGTGAGCCTCTCAGATCTTCCTTTAAGGGAGAACTTTCCAGGAGGAGTGTAATGAGCTGACTGCTGCTGCAGAAGCCATTCAGTGTCATGCTGGGGCCATGCTGTCCCCTGCAGGTCCCAGACAATGACTGAGCACAGTGGCAGCACTAGGGCTGGGCCATTCTGCCCAACCCTGGACTCCTCTGACGGGCAGGCTTTGCTCTGGTGTGCCACCTGGCCTGCCTGACACTTTCTCAGGACTGTGCTGCTGTGTGAGTCTCCTCCTGACGATTCTTCCTTTCCCTCCTCCTTTCACAGGCATTGGGACGGCAGTGGGGTCTGCAGATGTCCCCCCTACTTCTGCTGCCCTTCCCCTTCACTCTTCCTAGGCATTTCCCCGATACAGCTCTTGTACTTCTAATTCTTTCTTTGTATCTGCTTCCCAGAGAACCTGGATGAACATTTCTCTTGCTTATCCAGGCCTGTCTCCAAACCGAAACCTATCCTTTCACAGAGCTCCTACCTGCCTTTGTCTAGCTTACATGCCCAAATTCTATCTCTGGCCTCTTTAGGAAGAGAGTTCCGCCTGCCCTGTGCCAGTGGGAAGCCACAGTCACTGAGTAGCAGCCGCAGCAGCCGGCGCCTCCCTGGCTCCCCTAGGTAGACTCTGTGCAGACTGTTCCTCTACAAACCTCCACAGGCTCTTCCCATGTTTTCTTATTACTACTGTGCCATGTGTTTGTACGTCTGCCTCCCCTGAAACCATGAGACCCTAGAAGATAGAGACTGGGGCCTCTTTCATCTTTATTCCCACAGTACCCAGCACACTTCCTGGCACCTAGAATAAAATATTCTTGATATGTTTTTGTTGAATGAACTTTATAATTCAGATCTGACCCAAAGGCAGACGGTATGATTGTGTAAAAAGGGCTTTGTAGTCAGGTGGACATGAGCAAATTACTTAGTATGTGAGTCTCAGTATGTGCCTCAACTTAAAAAATAATGATGGAAAAAGCAATGACCCCTTCATTCCCATTCCTAGAATTTCTTTCTGTGTCAGTGGAGCTCAATAAGCATAACTCCTGGCCTCCTCCCCCAGCCCCAGTCTTGCTCAGTCACCCCAGGGGAGGTAAATTTGGGAAGAATAGATTAGGTGAACTCAGCTCACCCTTTCTCTCCTGGGATCAGCCCACCTGCAGCAAATAAGTGTTCTTGATTACACTGAGCTTCACCATAGGTCTAGGGCAAGGTTCCTCAATTTTGACACTACTGACATTTTAGGCTGGATAATTCTTATGTGCTGGGGAGAGAGGGGTGTCCTGTGCATTGTAGAATGTTTAGTAGCACCCTTGGCATCTAGTCACTAACCACCAGTAGCACCTCCCAGTTGTGGCAACCAAAAATGTCTCTAGACATTGCCAAATATTCCCCATGGAGACAAGATCATCCCCAGTTGAGACCCACTGGTCTAGTGTAAAAGCTTTGCCCTTAAGGAGTAAGCGGGTCCATTATATTTTGTGACTATGCAGATAAATATGTCAAATTCTGGAGTTTGGTTAGTGTTGTGGGTTGAATAATGACCCCAAAAGATATGTCCACATCCTAACCCCTGAAACCTGTGAATGTGACATTATTTGAAAAACAGCCTTTGCAGATGTAATAGATGTAGTTAAGGACCTTGAGATGAGAACATTCTGGATCATCCCAGTGGACCCTAAGTCCAGTCACAAGTATCTTTATAAGAGAAGAGGAGAAGCACAGACACAAAGACAAGGCTGTGTGAAGACACAGGCAGAGATTGGAGTAATGCAGCCACAAGCCAAGGGATGCCTGGAGCCGCCAGAGGCTAGACATGCAGAGGGAGCATGGCCTACTAACATCTTGATTCAGGCATCCCTCTTCCAGAACAGTGAGAGAATAAATTTCTGTTGTCCTAGGTAAGCAATTTGTGGTCATTTTTAACTCGTAGGACAGTAATATAGATAACAAGCTCCCCTGGGCTCTCACACTTAGCCAAGCCATTGTCAGTAACAAAGGTGATCTTCTGATGTTTCATCTATTGCCTTGGTAGTCTTATTTCTCACCTGGTTCAGAACCCAGCCAGGGAAGAGGAATAGAATTTATTATTTCTTAAAAGAAGCCCCCACCAAAATTACCTCCCAGGATTGGGGTGAAAATGAAACAAGACAGCATAAGACAGCATAAGTGAAAGCACCCAGTACAACTTGTGGCACTTAATTGCTTTATATTAAATGTTATTTTCTTTCTCTCCAGAATGGTCGCAGGTATAGCGACCTTCAAGTTCGTCGGTGTGTTGAGATCCATCTCTAATTTCTGATCTCCAAACCAGGTTGCTACCCCTCATTCAGAGAGGACGGCCAGACCGATCTTGGTCCTTCAGTCCGCTAAAGCCACAAGGAGGTGCCCGGGCAGCTCTCACAAGCCTTCCCCGTGGTTCACACCGAGGCCAGAGACATGCTTCCCCGCTGCAGGTGTGTGACTGCAGGTGGGGCCCCTTGGTCCGGGCAACGGGGATGGGTGGAAAATACTTTTTCCAGATGCCCTCTAGCTCCGGCCCCATTACCTGAAATCTATTTTAGCTACAGGACTTCACAGAGAGAATAGACAACTGAAGATTCTCTGTACTAATGCCAGCATGATATGCAAGACATCAGATATCAATTTGCCTCAATCACGATTCTGTATGCACAAGAAGAAAAAACCCTGGGACTGCAACCTGGGAGGGTGAGCCACCTCCCGCCCGCCCCGCTCTGCGTTTAGGGCTCGCTGTTATCTGTGTTGCCTTACTTACATGATCAGGAGCTCCGACTCATATCGCATTAATTTATTCTTCTCCAGAACCAGCTTAAACCATTCCTGCAAAAGCTGTGCTTCATCCTGTGTGCCTGAATCTGCTTAAGAAATCAGCGACAAATGGGTTAGATTGGCGCTTCTCTCCACATGATCAAACTGCTTTGGAGCTGCTTTAGCGGACCATGTTTGTAGCAAAAGGGGCTCAGCAGGCCGCAGCCCCCCGATGGCCTGTTGATGCCTCAAGGTCAGGGGCTTGGCAAATAAAACTCACCTGTGCACGCTCTAGGGGAGGTCCCCTTCCACATTTGGGACATGAATACTTCAGTTGTGAGGTCATATTCCTTTGATAACATCCTGCCACAAATGATCCTGTTCCTGTCTACTTGTCTGTTCTCGGTGAAACTTCTATAAGTTTGTGCACCACATCCCTCTCCAGAGAAAACCCTAACACCCCTGCTGGTTCCTGTCTCCTTCACTTTGCTTTTCCTCCATCAAAATCAAATGCCCACTGAGTGCCCAGGTGGGGTGTGGCTTCCTTCACGGAGCAGAGAAACTCATACCACATTTGGTCCTAAAGGAGAGTTGACTGGCGCTTAGATTTTTTTTCCCCCAAAAAGAAAAGGCAAGTAATGGGGGAAAATGTTATTAGCTTCAAGATTCATAGGGAGAGAGTTATATCCATATATTCTTATAACTTAGATTATGACCTTTATTAAACAGAAGAACAGCCATGAGAAAATAGACACTGCTTTTAGATATTCAGTATTAGATGCTAAATGTCTAGATACTAAAATGTTGAAATCTGGCATATTTGAGAAGTAGCAACATGGAGGGGGCTCTCTAGAATTTTACCCTGAAATGCGAACACAGGCTCATGGCCATTTATACTGGAGGGTCCAGTAGGCAGCGGGGGAAACAATGCCCACAGAAAATATGTGTGACTTTGGGCAAGTTGTTTAACCTTTTGGAGCCTCTGCTTCTTCACTGGTTAAACTGAACAATAAGGTAGGCACACAGGTAATATAATAATAACAACGAGATACTGTTTATTATGCAGCTATTACGTGCCAGTCAATGGGCTGTGTGCCTTATATGCAGCATCTCATTTAATCCTCTCAACAAGCTCACTAGTAGGTTCCCTTATTATCACCACTTGAAAGCGGAAGAAATAGGGTTTTGTTTTCTAAATATATCTTTATTGATTTCAGAGAGAGGAAGGGGGAGCGAGAGAGATGGAAACATCAATGATGAGAGTCATTGATCGGCTGCCTCCTGCAGGCCCCCTACCGGGGAAGGAGCCTGCAACCCGGGCATGTGGCCTGACTGGGAATCTAACCTTGATCTCCTGGATCATAGGTCAATGCTCAACCACTGAGCCACACCAGCCGGCAAGAAATAGGGGCTTAAGAGATTAATTTGCCCAACCTCACAGCTAGTAAGTGGCAGGGCCAGGGCTTGAACTCAAGTGAGCCTTATCCTAAACCCATGCTTTTCACTGCTTGTATAGCACTCTCTCTTTTCTTCTCCTTCCCTCTTTCTTATAGGCATACGAGGTAAATGATGCCTCTAGCACATTGCCTAGCATAGCAAGTCATCCACAAAAATGAGTTCCCTTTTCTCCCTGTCTCCTTGACCACCTTTTTATTGATAAGGAAAGTTGGGTCCAGAGGGATTTATATGCAATGACTCAAATTATATATTTAGTTAATGTGCAAACTGGTGCTACAATGCAGCTCTTAACTTCTGGAGGATTCATTCATTCATTTATTCAACACCACTTATTTATGAAATAGGTGTCAGATAGTGCCTTAAGTACTTGGGCTACAGTGATAGATGATGCTGCACATCACAAGAAATTTGGAGATCATAGGCATAGTACACGCTAAAAAGGGTATTTATTGTTAGATAATCGTTTGGATGAGATGGACCCAAAGAGCTAGAATAAAACAGAACATTAGAAATTGCTGCCACAACAAAGCAGCAAAAGAGACTCTGAGGATAAAGAGAAGGGAGGGTTTTCCTGGTCAGGACATGAGCTTGGGCTTCCTGAGGAAGATAGGTTTGAACTGGGTTGTTGAAAAGTGAATAACATTTTGAGAGGAAATAGTGAGACTGAGAAAAAAATTTTTCAAGAAGAGGAAACAATCCAAGCAAAGATGAGAGGATGGGAGAAGGTGGTGGAGACAGAGGTTGGGAAGTGCTAAGGAGGT